TTTCATCTCGATCCTGCCTTTTTAAATTTTTAAATCAATTTTTTTATTAAAAGTTTTCAATGTAAAATACAATAAAAGTCAAACTAACCTAAAGAGAATGAAAGAATAGAGAAAGAGCAATAGAAAGTACTATAGGAAGGAATAAGAGAAGGAAGGAAGGACAGAAAGCAAGGAAATAGGACTTCCAACTATCCGTCTGTCAGTTATATATGCAATAGTTCTTCAAAACAGTCAAATGTTCAGTCCAAATTAGCATTCAGGTGCTCCCCTTCTGCTAGGTGGTTTTCCAGTCTTTAATCCAGGACTCTCCAGCTCATTAGTTCTTTCAATGCAATAAGTCCAAGGAAGCTTCTCCAAATAATATAATAGTCTACAATAGATTCTCCTCGGGTCCAGCATCACAACGTTACCTCCAGTATTAGGAAACATTCAATCCATCTTCTTCATTTCCTCCAAGATTTCTTCACTGTGTTTATGTATTACAGCACCAGTCTGTAATTAGTTATTATACAACCTTTAATCCACACCCAAATCCTTGTATCCCAGTCTCTTTTCATGTGAACTATACTTATCCGTCCATATTTTTTCCTGAAAAATTCAAATTTCCATCTTCTGCTTTTTCCAGCTCTGTTTTGGTTTCATCTGGATCCTGCCTATTTTCCGGATTGGATCTTAAGACTGTCTATGTGGTGTACCCAATCAATTTCCTATCCATGGACTGACTTGAATGTCTGGAGGCAGTTGGAGGATGGATGGCGGCTAATGGATTGAGGTTGAATCCTGACTAGACAGAAGTGCTGTTCTTGGGGGACAGGGGGTAGACTGGTGTGGAGGACTCCCTGGTCCTGAATGGGGTAACTGTGCCCCTGAAGGACAAAGTGCGCAACCTGGGAGTCATTTTGGACTCACAGCTGTCCATGAAGGCCCAGGTCAATTCTGTGCCCAGGGCGGCTGTCTACCAGTTCCATCTGGTACGCTAGCTGAGATCCTACCTGCCCACAGACTGCCTTGCCAGAGTGGTGCATGCCCTGGTTATCTCTCGTTGGACTACTGCAATGTGCTTTACGTGGGGCTACCTTTGAAGGTGACTCGGAAACTGCAATTAATCCAAAAGACGGCAGCTAGACTGGTGACTGGGAGTGGAACATGCTCCCATTAGATGTCAAGGCAATAAGCAACTATCTTACTTTTAAAAGGCAATAAGCAACTATCTTACTTTTAAAAGACATCTGAAGGCAGCCCTGTTTAGGGAAGTTTTTAATGTTTAATGCTGTATTGTGTTTTTACTACAGCCATACCTCGGGATGAATACGCTTCAGAATAAGCATTTTCGGGTTGCGCTCCGCGGTGACCCAGAAGTAACAGAGCGCATTACTTCCGGGTTTCGCTGCTCACGCATGCGCAGACGCTCAAAATGTCGCGCGCATGCACGGAAGCGGCAAAACGAGAACTGCGCACGCACAGATGAGCAGTCACGTGTTACGTTCGCTTCAGGATGTGAACAGGGCTCTGGAACAGATCCCGTTCGCATTCAGAAGTACCACTGTACAGTATTTTGTTGGGAGCCACCCAGAGAGGCTGGGGAAACCCAGCCAGATGGGTGGGGTATAATTAATAATAATAATAATAATAATAGACATAGATTTGCTCAGTTATAACAAGACTGGCGCATCATGTGCCTACAGGCTGCACCCTATCCTCCTTTGGAATCAAAATATTTTCCTCAATTTTGATTTGCACAGGGCATTTTTGTCTACACTGAAAGTTGCCTCCATGTAGAAGCTGCTCCCTAGCAGTGGGACTTAAGATCCCCAGAGGGCTTTCATCAGTTGTAGTATGAGGACCTCAGTTTCACAACTTGCCTTACTCATATGCATATTGCAAGCAGAATAATGGACCAACCATCAGTCTTAAGAACCAAAAAAAGAGGAAGAAAACTTTAGAGTCAGAAATGCCCTGAGATAAATGTGCAGTCGACATGTTTGTGTGAATCTGTGCCAGGAATGGGGATCTTCCAAACTCCCTTCCAAACACTGCTAGTCTAGAACTCCCATCATCCCTGACTAGTGGCCCCAGGGCTGAGTCCAACCACAAAAGTCCTCATCACTGATGCATGCAATGCTTTGTGGGTTCCAATTTACTTACTATTTATTTGACCATTTTTACTATTTAAAAAAAAACAGTAAAAAATAGATCCATCACTAATTTTTTCCCCCAGTTCAAAAGATGTTTGCAATTTGCATTAAAATTACAGCACCCTGCAGCATTTTTTAAGCTAGATAACAGATGTATATAGTATCAGATGTGAAGGTTTATGGAATGTGGACAGTTTGAGCAGCATTCGTTTTGGTTCAGCTGTGGTCAACTGTGAAATAGATTTGGAGCCTGCATTTTACTCATCAGTAAGAGCTTTTCATCTTTTCAGGATTTCATTAGCATCCTATGAAATGTGTGGATTTTGTATTTGTTCCATATGCATTGCACTTCACTTTTAAACAGCCAGTCTTTCTTTCTTCAACACAAATAGCCATATATTACATTGTGCTTAAAAGTTCATTGGTTTATATTAGAACCGCTTTGGGAGTTGACTTCTCAGATCAGCTGTCAGCTTCAGATCAACATGCTTCAGATTAGCTGTTTGCCTTTTTATCATTTATTTTAGTGATAAATTTATTTATTATTATTATTATTATTATTATTATTATTATTATTATTATTAATACCCCGCCCATCTGGCTGGGTTTCCCCAGCCACTCTGGGCAGCTCCCAACAGAATATTAAAAACAATAAAGCATCAAACATTAAAAACTTCCCTAAACAGGGCCGCCTTCAGTTGTCTTTTAAAAGTAAAATAGTTCCTTATCTGACCGTATTTTTCGCTCTGTAAGACACACTTTTCCCCTCCTAAAAAGTAAGGGGAAATGTGTGTGCTTCTTATGGAGCGAATGCAGACGGCGCAGCTATCCCAGAAGCCAGAAGAGCAAGAGGGATCGCTGCTTTCACTGCGCAGCAATCCCTCTTGCTGTTCTGGCTTCTGAGATTCAGAATATTTTTTTTCTTGTTTTCCTCCTCCAAAAACTAGGTGCGTCTTATGGTCTGATGCGTCTTACAGAGCGAAAAATATGGTGTGTTTAATTATTGTTGAAAATGATATGTTTAAAAACATATATATATATATATATATATGAATGAAATACTAGAGAAGAGAAAGTGCATTAGTACATTGGAGAAGGATGCTGAGCTACGGTCCCCGTGAACAAGACGGCTCGTTCTTTTGGCTAATCCTGCGGGAAGGACTCCGCTTCCGCCCTTTGCTCTCTCTTTTTGCTCTTGGTGGATCAAAGCGAAAACCTTCCAGTTCAGGGAACGTTCTGACCATTATCCACATTTCCCACCTATATATAGGCCTAATGCATCATGTATTTTAATACCAATGCTTAATGGCTGCGAGTGGCAGTTTCTGAAATGAAATGCGGGTAATGACCCCCCAAGGAGGCAGAACCCAAGGAGGGCTGGCGAAGGAGGAAACAGAGCATACATTACAGCCGAGGAGGTTTGAACAATAGCTCTTTGACACCAACAGTCTTGGCTCAGTGGCCACGGGTCTCATAAAACCAGCACATACAATTAGGCGCAACCTGTGATCTATATTTTGTTCGGAATCTGCCATAAGCAGGCTGGCTAAATTCTCATTCAAGACGCAGGGCCTTTACAAGGTCACGGGTGTGGTCGTGCCCTTGCAGTGGCAAAGACCTCCTTTCATATACTCAGAATCACGTAGTGATTTCATGCTCTTTATTGCAGCTCGAAAAACAGTGAATGAATTTCCCCAAAAAACCTCAGGCTTTATATACATTATTTACACAATGAGTCCCATCTGATTGGTTTATTCTGTTTCCCTCCTGGAGCCTGATTCGGCTGCTACTGCAGGCCAATCAGTTGTTGCATCCTAGGTTCCTACCAGCCTAATAGGCTGGTTAACTTCCTTCTGGGGTCTGATTGGGCTGCCCCTGCAGGCCAATCAGGTTGTTGCATTCTGGGATCCTACCTGCCTATTGTTCTAGGATAGAAGCTTAGTCCATAACACACACACACACACACACACACACACACACACACCATCTTAAAACATTCTCCCCGTGCAAAGATAATTGGCTAGACTTGACAGGAAGGGGGAAGAATGAACCTTCAGGTAAATATTTCTTTTCTTTTTTAAAAAGCAAAATAGTTTGTAACATCACTAGAAATCACATAGTAAATGGAGGCAGAATCAAAAAATAAAGCCTCAATAGAAATTACATACCATCCCCCATTAGTTAAGTGGTGTTTCCAAATTCTGATCTTACAGGTGTGCTGAGAGCTACAAAGCTCTTTCTCCTTCAGAATCGCTATACAGTGGTACCTTGGGTTACAGATGCTTCAGGTTACGCATTTTCGGGTTGCGGGACGCGCCGAACCGAACCCAGAAGTACCAGAATAGGTTACTTCCCAGGTTTCAGAGCTTGTGCATGCACAGAAGTGCTAAACCGTGCTTTGCGCATGCGCAGAAGCGCTGAATTGCGACCTGCGCGTGCGCAGACGTGGCACAGCGGGTTGCGAACGCTGCGGGTTGTGAACGTGCCTCCCATGTATCTGCTACGGGTTTCATCCTTCCATAACACCAAGGGTAGGTGACACATGCAAACCTGAGCCTTGTATGGATATGCAGGATAGTGGTTCCTTTGGATTAAGCCTGGCACCAAGGGAAAGGAAGTACAGTGGTACCTCGGGTTACAGACACTTCAGGTTACAGACGCTTCAGGTTACAGACTCTACTAACCCAGAAATAGTACCTCAGGTTAAGAACTTTGCTTCAGGATGAGAACAGAAATTTTGTGGCGGCAGCACAGTGGCAGCAGGAGGCCCCATTAGCTAAAGTGGTACCTCAGGTTAAGAACAGTTTCAGGTTAAGAACGGACCTCCAGAACAAATTAAGGTCTTAACCCAAGGTACCTCTGTACTTCTCTTGGAGTTGCTTCCAGGAGCTAAGCAAAGCGATTATACATGATGGACCCATAAAGTCCAAAACCTTTTCTAATTGGACACTTGATTTTCCCGGTTTGTCATGCTCCAAACACAACATAAGTATGGATAGTTGAACATTTCTTAGACTTCGTTTGCCTGGGGAACCTCCACTCACTACCCAAAGGACGAGTCCCGCACCCTGACATGAAGAAAGATGCCGCTGATAAAATGGCTGTGTTGCTGTTGATTTCTGTTCCTTCCTTAGTGTTCCTCCTTATTAAATTTCCCTCCATGCAACCATTTTTGGAACACTTTGGTTCCTACTCGGCGTCACTGGCATCACATCACAGTCAGAATATGACAGTTTGTTCTCAAGGTGGTGGTGAGAGGTGTTGCAGGTGGGGGACAAAGGAAGATATTCTGAAGGCCTTCAAAAGAGAAGAACATCAAAGAATCTATATAAATATTCGAGTACATTCTCAACAAACCAGACAGTTATGTATGCTCGGTATGTACTTGGGTCAAGGGTGGGTGTGGAATTCTGCATTCAGGAGTTGCCAGGCTGGTTTCCCTAGAAAACAAAACATGTTTATGGGTTTGAGCACCTTCTGTGGGCACAAGAAGAAATAGCTGAGGGGGGAGCTGGGCTTTGATGTGGAGTTTCGAATCAAGCAAAGCTCACAGGTGGAAAAATGTACCAGCCTTTCCCATTCATTCCACATTATCTTGTTTTATTTGATCGTTTTATTTTACAAATGTCCACTCTGCCCTTTGATATGCGTACGTAGTTCAGGGGCAGCCATAGTAAATGCGATGGAAACAATGGAATCGAAACGATAAAACAGAGAGTAAAAGCAACGAGGGGGAAAGTAAACTAGTAGATTTACTCGCAGTATAAGGCTAGTGTCAAAAAGGTGAAACCTCAACCAATAAGCTGCTTTCATGTGATCTGTTTATTGAACCTCCATTCTGATGTGTTTGTGGGAAGATTAGGCAAGAAATTGTTATCTTACACCTTCCATTGCGTCCTCCCAGCGATATGCTTACCACAAAGACTACTTTTTAGGGAAAGCGGGTTCGTTATGAAAAAAAAATCCCCGATTCACTTTGAACACGCAACCCAACTTTGAAAATATGTGATTGAATCTCACCTGAAAGCAGTAACAGTCTGGTAGCACCTGTAAAAAGACCAGAAATTCCTATTGGCATCATCACACTTTTAAAAAAAAGTTGAGCGGCTGTGAAGGTAGGCTTTAGAAAAGGTTCATAAAGCCACCCATTGTTTGAAAGTTGCATGTGGTTCCTAATCCCGGTTTAAGCCCAACCAATTCAGAGCACCTTTACCCCATTTGGCAAATGAATGAGCAGAGGAACGAAAGATGGGGGCCTACCTAGTAAGTAATCCAAGAACTGTGAAACAAAGCCTTAATCTTAGCAACTGGGGGCTTTAGTGCATTCCAATCAGACACCGGCAAACAATGGGGTGGGGTGAGGAGACATTCCAAGCCAACCTAATCAAGGACAAGCTTAAACCTTAAGAACTCAAAGCTCCTTTTGTGATAAAGAGTGTGAACTATGCTACTGGGAATATTAAGGAGCCAGCTTGCAGTTCGGAGGAGCCTCAAGCTTCCCATTCTGCAGAGGAAATGATATTTTCAGGACTCTTGGTGGTTGCCCCACATCCTTTAAGGCTGCAATCCTATACACCAAGGAGCGCTGAAATATACTTGGAGTCGAGAGTGGATTTCATTCTCTTTATTCAGCTCATAGTGGTGAGGAGGAATGGAAGTTCCCCCAGAATGTCTGCTTTATATCCATTATTTACACAATGGGCCCCATGTGATTGGCTAATTCCGGGATTCTCCTGTAGGCCAATCAGGTTGCGGGTTCACTTCCACCTGGAGCTGGATTGGGTGGCTCCTGTGGACCAATCAGACTGCTGCATTCTGGGTCCTATTGTTCTAGGACCAATCAGACTGCTGCAGTTTGAATCCTATTGTTCTAGAACCAATCAGACTGCTGCATTTTGGATCCTATTCAACTCAATACATAACAATCGCCTAGGGGCTGAGGAAGTTTCAGGGTCCCAAAAGTATTTTTGAGGGGACCAAGCCCCTTCAATATTCAGGAGGCATTTGGTTCCTCCCCCTGGCGCTGTGCACAGACCGTCAGGACGTCATGAGCTGTTATCTGCATGACATCATGATGTCGTACAATGTTATGCACAGGCCCCCTCAATCCCCTTAAGAAGATGGCACTTCTGCTACACATTTACCTGGGGAGGAAGTCCCACTGAACTCAATGGGGCTTTCTTCTGAGTAGGCGGCTATAGCAGTGGCTCCCAATCAGCTAAATAGTGTGGACCTCTTTTTTCCCTAAAAGCCAAGTCATGGGCCCCCTACTTTTGAATTTTTTTTATATCTCCATGGTAGTTTTTGTTATTTGAATGGTGCCACAGACCCCCCCTGGGTGGGTTACACAGACCCCCCTGAGGTCTGCAGACCCACACTGATCTATAGGATTGTATTAATGGCCTGACAAACTGGTCTTTGATCCAGAAAGGATGCTGGAATTTGCCTCAAAATACCATGTTCAAAGCTATTTTCAAAACAATTTTTCTTTGTCTCTCTGCCTGTAAATTGAAGATGCGTCACTTCTGACCTTTTGGTTTATTGATATTGGAGGGCTCCCAAAATCTGGAAATTAGTGTGTGATGGCGTTGACAGTCTCATACAATCTCCAGATTTGATTTTCAACCCCAAAACAGTGATTTCAAGGGAGCACAGCGGTACCTCAAGTTACAAACGCCTCAGGCTACAAACGCTTCAGGTTACAAACTCCGCTAACATGGAAGAGTTACCTCAAGTTGAGAACTTTGCCCCAGGATGAGAACAGAAATCGTGTGCCAGCGGCGCAGCGGCTGCAAGAAGCCCCATTAGCGAAAGCACGCCTCTAGTTAAGAACAGTTTCAGGTTAAGAACGGACCTCCGGAACGAATTAAGTTTTTAACTAGAGGTACTACTGTACAAGTATTGGGTGCTGCCATTCTGTGGTAGCAATGGAACTTTCCCCACCTGGGCTCTCTCCTGAAGGCCTCCCCCAACATCCTCAAAAATTGCTCCAGGGGGAGTCTCTGGGGTTGATTCTGAGAGAGTATGGAGAGAGAAGAAGGGAAGTCCGACTGCTTGAGAAGAATACAGCTCATGCAGCATTTGATGCAACTTATGTCCTCCCCATTGGGACGCGGGTGGCGCTGTGGGTTAAACCACAGAGGCTAGGACTTGCTGATCAGAAGGTTGGTGGTTCGAATCCCCGCGACGGGGTGAGCTCCCGTTGCTCGGTCCCTGCTCCTGCCAACCTAGCAGTTCGAAAGCACACCAAAGTGCAAGTAGATAAATAGGTACCGCTCCAGCGGGAAGGTAAACGGCGTTTCTGTGCGCTGCTCTGGTTCGCCAGAAGCGGCTTAGTCCTGCTGGCCACATGACCCGGAAGCTGTACGCCAGCTCCCTCGGCCTATAGAGCGAGATGAACGCCGGTACCCCAGAGTCGTCTGCAACTGGACCTAATGGTCAGGGGTCCCTTTACCCTTTTACTTTTATGTCCTCCCCAACGTTTCAACTATGTGATTTTTTAAAACAATGTATTTTTAAATCCTGTTTGTCTCTCCTAGCTGCTGCTGCTTTGACACCTTCCCCTTCCGCTGCACCTAGTGCTCATAGCTCATGATTCAATCGTCACCTGCAGACACAGAGGCCTCCTGTGGCTCCCACGTGGTCTTCTCCCTGCCCTGAAATTAACTTGAAGGAAGAAAGTCAATACAATAAGAGGCAATGTGTGCTTGGTGGGAGAGTGTGTTTGTGTGTGTGCCCATGACAGATTATCTGCAATGCTAGAAGTCATGGGCACCCGATGAAGATGAATCTTGGAAGATTCAGGACAGATAAAAATAAGTGCTTCTCTGCAAAGCACTTAGTTAAACTATGACACTCACTCTTGCAAGAGGCAGTGATGGCTTTTAAAGAGGATTAGACAGAATTCTGGGTCCCATTAATGTGGTCTGAGTTGGGTAACATTTTCCCCATCCACAATTATGAAGGAGCGTCTCCATCCCCATCATTCAGCCGGGACACTGAGGTCCAGCTCCGAGGGCCTTCTGGCGGTTCCTTCCCTGTGAGAAGTGAGGTCACAGGGAAACAGGCAGAGACACTTGTCGGTAGTGGCACCTGCCCTGTGGAACGCCCTCCCATCAGATGTCAAGGAAATAAACAACTATCTGACTCTTAGAAGACATCTGAAGGCAGCACTGTTTAGGGTAGTTTTTATGTTTGATGTTTTATTGCTTTATTATTATTATTAATATTCTGTTGGAAGCTGCCCAGAGTGGGTGGGGAAACCCAGCCAGATGGGCGGGGCATAAATAATGATTTTTTTATTATTATTATTATCATTGTTGTTGTTGTTATTTGGCTAGCCAAGAGCTTCTGTGATCCTCATGCTCTCACAGAGTCCGAGTTTAATCTGTAGACTGAGGCTGTAATCCTTTACCTGGGAGTAAGCCCCACTGGGGTCAATGAGACTTCTGAGTAGACACATGTAGGATAGCTCAGTTGGTAAAGCCAGTGGCAGGGGGAAGGGGGGTATGGTGGGGGCGAACCACCTCAGGTGTCATCCCTGAGGGGGAGTGACATTAGGTGCACTGCCCGCCTGCATTCCTCGCTTCCCCCTTCATTTTGACAGCTGGCCTAGGCTTGGGAGTCACGGGCAGGCAGCACGCCAAATGTCCGCCATGGGCAGCTTGCTCCGCCTCTGTGAGCGGTTTGCTCTGTCCCCATGGGCAGCTCACTCCGCCCCTGGCTGAAGGGCGCGTGTGCTGCTCCAGGCACCCGAGCGGCTATCCCGCGCATGGGAGGGCACCCTCCATGCCACACACCCCTCGGGAGTGCGCCCCCCTTGGGCACCGTGGGCATATGCTCTGCCGCTGGGTAAAGCATGAGACACTTAATCTCAGGATTGTAGAGTCACGTTAGGCAAAATATTCCCGCTTTGCAGGGGGTTGGACTGAACAACCCTCGTGGCCCCTTCCAACTCTACAGTTACATGACTCTGCAAAATTCATGGAGAGGGTTATTGATGGCTACTGGCCATGATGGCAACACTCTGCCTCCACAATTGGATGGAGCAACACCTGTTACTCGAATCAACATTGTGCTTGTCCATATAACTCTACTCTGTAAAAGCTGCTGCTTACAGCAGCTACTACTATGCTATAAGATCCACTGTCCTGTGATATCATATATGTTCTGTACGGTTGTTGATGGTTTTTATATTATTTTTGCTGTAAAAATGTGTGAGATTATGATATTGTATTTATGGGTTAAAGCCTCAGCGCCTAGGACTTGCCGATCGAAAGGTCGGCGGTTCGAATCCCCGCAGCGGGGTGCGCTCCCGTTGCTCGGTCCCAGCACCTGCCAACCTAGCAGTTCGAAAGCACCTTCGGGTGCAAGTAGATAAATAGGGACCGCTTACTAGCGGGAAGGTAAATGGCGTTCCGTGTGCTGCGCTGGCTCGCCAGATGCAGCTTGTCACGCTGGCCACGTGACCTGGAAGTGTCTGCGGACAGCGCTGGCCCCCGGCCTATAGAGTGAGATGGGCACACAACCCTAGAGTCTGTCAAGACTGGCCCGTACGGGCAGGGGTACCTTTACCTTTTACCTTTTAGAGTTTGTACTACTGATGAAGCCTAGGACGGCAAAACAAGGCTAATATTCCGGAAATCCTTGTCTTAGACTCTGTGAAAGGATTCTGTGGAACTGCAACAACCTTTCGTGTGAATTGTTGGACTCTACGAACAGACAGGTGGAATAGACACTTTCACATATATGGACCTTATGCATAAACCGATTAGAGAATGAACTGATCCACTGGGTCTTCTACGTTTTTCGTTGAACTTTGTGAGCTACTTCTGTTGGAAGCCACAGTAGGGCAAAGTGCTCTGGTCCTTGGGTTCTGTTTGGGATGGGATGCTGAACTAGACGGGCGACTGGCCTGATGCAACAGGCTCTTATGTTCCGTTTTACAAATGTGTCCACAGGCCCGAAAAGGATAGCAGGCCCCAGCCCTAACTGCTACTGAAGCAAAAGTCATGGCAGTTAAAATCTTCTCGGTGTACCAACTGTGATCTGCCCCGAATGCTGCTGCAACCCCCGTTAGTGCTTAACTTATTTTGTTACTTTTATTCCTTTGAAATATATCAAGGCTGCTTTTTGTTTTTTAATCTGGGCAAACACCCATCCAAAGCAGCTCACAAGCAAAACAAAAGATAAAAACAGTGCTACGTTTAAAATAGTGCAACCTTTAAAACTTTAAAAACTTAGCACTACCAATCGGCACTTGACATAAAAATTATAGAAGCGGAGAGAACATAATTGAGTCAGACCGTCACCCAGCTAGCAGAATGTTACCCAGCTATTTCTCTTTCCAGAAATAGTTGTGAAAAGAGAGGAGGAAGGGATGTAGCTCGTCACCTGCTTTGCAAGCAGAAGGTCCCTGGTTCGATCCCCAGGTAGCGCTCAGAGACACTCCCTCCTCAAAACCTCAGCGAGCTACTGCAGTCAGCATAGACAATAAAAGGTAAAGGTCCAATCGTGGCTGACTTTGGAGTTGCAGCGATCATCTCGCTTTATTGGCCAAGGGAGCTGATGTACAGCTTCTGGGTCATGTGGCCAGCATGACTAAGCCGCTTCTGGCAAACCAGAACAGCGCATGGAAACACCGTTTACCTTCCCGCCGGAGTGGTACCTATTTATCTACTTGCGCTTTGACGTGCTTTCGAACTGCTAGGTTGGCAGGAACAGGGACCGAGCAACAGGAGCCCACCCCATCGAGGGGATTCGAACTGCCGACCTTCTGATTGGCAAGTCCTAGGCTCTGTGGTTTAACCCACAGCGCTACCCACGTCCCTAGCATAAACAATACTATTCGCCAATTTCAATATTCACTAGGCATGTGCTTCAATTCCCTTTGGTTTCCTTAGCGGGTGCTTTCTCCTGCTTCTTCTGAGAGCCAGTGTGGTGTAGTGGCTAAGACTCATAATCTGGGGAACCGGGTTCACGTCTCTGCTCCTCCACATGCAGCTGCTGGGTGACCTTGGGCCAGTCACACTTCTCTGAAGTATCTCAGCCTCACTCACCTCACAGAGTGTTTGTTGTGGGGGAGGAAGGGAAAGGAGAATGTTAGCCGCTTTGAGACTCCTTAGGATAGTGATAAAGCAGGATATCAAATCCAAACTCCTCTTCTTGGATTAGACACATGGACATTCACATGCAATCAGGGATGACCCAGAGAACTGGATGATGTCACAACGCTATGCAGCCAATCAAGTTTAGCAGTATGATGACATCACTGAGGACAAGCACAGGCAATTAGAAGCAAGAGGATTGTCAACGAATAAGCGAAACACTTTTGCAAGGAGTGCCAAAAACATGCAAACGAAAAACCCCAAAACGAAACAAAAGCAAAAATCCACAGCCCTGAAGGATAGCTTTTTCTTTCAGTTCCCTTTGGTTTCCTTAGTGGGTGTTTTCTCCTGCGACTTGGATTAGACACATGGCGTTCCCATGCAATCACAGATAACCCAGAGAACCACACGGTGTCACAATGCTATGTAGCCAATCAAGTTTGGCAGTATGATGACATCACTGAGGATAACCACAGGTAATTAGAAGCAAGAGGAATGTCAATGAATAAATGAAACACTTTTGCCAGGAGTGCCATAAACAAGCAAATGAAAAACCCAGAAACAAAAAAGCAAAAATCCATAGCTTTTCCTTTCCTTTTCTTTTTTGGGCAGAATTGAAAATGCTGGCAAAAAAAACCCCACTTGAGTATTTTCAGCTCAGCTCTAATTAGCAATAATGTCCTTTCCACCAGCCTATCCATAGGCAGTTGCATTAAGCCTGGTGCGTCAGGAGCTGAAGCAATGCAGCAGCGCATCTCCATATGGGTCTGCAACCAGTCTGTGGAGGCAGATGAAACTGAAAATGGCTGGGAGGTTGCCCTGAAGCAACTGAAGCTTTAAAGTTAGATTTCTGTCTGGGAGAGAGCCAGGCAGGGTGCGGGGGCACAAAGTAGGTGGAAAATAAGAAGATTTGAATTACAGCATCTCATTTGCTCTCCTCGTCCCCTCTGCCCAATGGAAATCAACTTCCAACACCGGGCGGAATGGCATCTGTCCACAAAGGGGGGGGGGGCAAACGTGCACAGCTGTCAGTTCTGACAGGTAGCAGAATCATTTTTACGAGCGCACGCATCATTATCCACGCTGAACTTGATAACTCCATTCTCAGTGCGCCATCAAGCAGGCCAATCGCTTCCTCTCCAGAGGTGAGGTAGTTTTTTAATCCAACAAGTGTGGAGGACTAAAGGAAGATCCATCTGCTGCTGCCAATCCTTCCCAGAGAGCCCGTCACAGATGCTTTTCTAATCATGAGCTCATGAATGAAAACGGTGGCATCTGTGAAATTGTTCTGCACCAGCAGAAAGGAACCCCCGGCCTGTAGGCGTAATGTTTCTACCAAGTGGTATCCGCCTGCCCTCTAGATGTCAGCGTCAAGGAGCTGTCAATGAGGCAGGTCAACCACAGAACAGGCACACACACACTGCAGGCATGGAACAACAACAACAACAACAACAACAACAACAACAACAACAACAACAACAACTTATTATTTATACCCCGCCCATCTGGCTGGGTTTCCCCAGCCACTCTGGGCAGCTTCCAACAAAACACTAAAATACAATAACCTGTTAAACATTAAAAGCTTCCCTAAACAGGGCTGCCTTCAGGTGTCTTCTAAAAGTTTGGTAGTTATTTTTCTCTTTGACATCTGGTGGGAGGGCATTCCACAGGTGCCACTACCGAGAAGGCCCTCTGCCTGGTTCCCTGTAACTTGGCTTCTTGCAGCGAGGGAACCACCAGAAGGCCCTCGGCGCTGGACCTCAGTGTCCAGGCAGAACGATGGAGGTGGAGACGCTCCTTCAGATATACTGGACCGAGGCCGTTTAGGGCTTTAAAGGTCAGCACCAACACTTTGAATTATGCTCGGAAACGTACTGGGAGCCAATGTAGGTCTTTCAAGACCAGTGTTATATGGTCTTGGCGGCCACTCCCAGTCACCAGTCTAGCTGCCGCATTCTGGATTAGTTGTAGTTTCCGGGTCACCTTCAAAGGTAGCCCAACATAGAGCACATTGCAGTAGTCCAAGCAAGAGATAACCAGAGCATGCACCACTCTGGCAAGACAGTCCGCGGGCAGGTAGGGTCTCAGCCTGCGTACCAGATGGAGCTGGTAGACAGCTGCCCTTCACACAGAATTAACCTGCGCCTCCATGGACAGCTGTGAGTCCAAAATGACGCCCAGGCTGCGCACCTGGTCCTTCAGGGGCACAGTTACCCCATTCAGGACCAGGGAGTCCTCCACACCAGTCTACCCCCTGTCCCCCAAGAACAGCACTTCTGTCTTGTCAGGATTCAACCTCAATCTGTTAGCTGCCATCCATCCTCCAACCGCCTCCAGACACCACCTCCTCCTCCTCCTCCTCCTCCTCCTCTTCTTCTTCTTCGCTGCCCCTGGAGACCCTGCCTCACCTAGCCTCATGGGTGGGGTGGGCCAGCCCTGCCTGTGCCTGCAATTTGTTTTAACTGTTTTTAACATTGAATTTTATTATTTTTGTTATCACACCCTGGGACCTGATGGTGCAAAGCAGGTAGCAGGTCATCAACGACAATGGTGTGCTGGTCAAAAGGATGTTGTGTGACAATAGGTAGTGAAGGTTGCACCAAGGAGGGGCCAGAGAGGAGGTAAGTGGCTCCTACTAAACCCACCCACCCCCAATTTTGGAAGAATGTGGAGCAAACCACCAGGGTGTGGGCAGAGGGGAGCCTTTCCTTCCCTCCCCCCCCCCCCTGCGCTGCTGGTCCCTCACTGCAATGTGCTGTCTACTTGGTAGATACTAACAGCACCTCTTCAGCACCGGCCTTAGGTCGATATGAAATTATACAGCTTGAAATGGCTTTTCTTTCGAATTGGATGCAATTGATCCATTGCAAGATCTGAGAGGCAAGGGAGATCTACATTGCCAAAGTCAATCCAGCCGCAGCAGAGAAAACCTCTAATTGCCCTTTCTCTATTGCGCCGGCGAAGCTCTTATTTTGTTTTGCTTTCCTTAGAACCCTTGACTCGATACTGCTGACTTCTCCTCTGGGGCTTTAAGCAACAGGAGTATATGCAACTTGAGGCTGGATTAAAGGCCTAGGAACGACACAGCCCAGTTGCTCCCCCTGTCCCGGTAACATCTATTATGCAGCACACAGAATCGTCAGACGTGTGAGAGTTCTCTAACTCATGGGAGAATCCAAGTCCTCCATTTGGGAGTCAATGCTCATTGCACACAGATATATGAGAATCCTGGCTTATTCCAGGCCCAACCAGACATGATGTTCCTTCCATGAATGCCATGAATCATCATAGTGTAAGGGAAAGCATTAGCAGGACTGGGACCCTGGGAAGGAAGAGTTTAAGCCTTTCCTCAGTGGTCCCAGTGACCTCCTCCCCATCAAAGCTATTTGCACTGTAAGGGAAACCTCCATTGCCACAAATGAAGGTTTCTCTCCTAAGGCAAATAGCAGTTTGGGGTGGGGCAGGGAGTGTTTGTCACAATTGCGGCAGGAGGGAAAACAATTAAACTCTTCCTCCTGGCGGTGAACACAATTAAAGCCCATTACTTTCACGAAGGAATCCTGGAAATTGTAGTTTACCCCCCCCCCCACACACAAAATTACAATTTCCAGCACCCTTAACAAACTACAACTCCCAGGACTCTTGGTGTGTATGCAGCCCCGACCCCTTCAATCCTGATACTGAATGTCCCTCCCCTGACTGCTCTTTACATTTAAAAAAATTAAGCGTACATTAATTGCCTTCACACAATTGGCATCATGTCCACTACTGACTGAGGCTGCAATCCTAACCACACTTCACTGCGAGCATGTCCCATAGAATTTAGTAGTAATTATTATTATTATTATTATTATTATTATTATTACAACAGAACACTAAAATACAATAACCTATTAAACATTAAAAGCTTCCCTAAACAGTAGGACTTACTTCTGAGTAGACCTAGGTAGGACGACACTGTTAGGCAGCTGTTTCCATGGCCAGGAGCTCTCAAGTCTGGGTGTTGAATAAAAAAAGATAGAAAATGATTCACTGACGGAATAACTGCACCACAGTGAAAAATGCATTGGGGAGGTGTCTGTAAAACGAACTATTCACGCTATTAAAGCTTATGAAGGGGAAACCATGTAACATTGAAGTGGTGTTGTTGTGTCACTTCCTTAATTACCCTCTGGCGTTGGGTCAAGTGCTCAGATAGAGCCATGTCCCAGATGTTTCAGTGTCCTCATGGCAACACATTTCCCTGCTCCTGCTTCATATCATCAGCTGCTGCGGACAGGAGACCAGGTATTTGTACAAAGTTGTGCTTCACCAGGCTATGGAAAGAGTAGAGCTGCTCTTATTACATGTCTATCTCCACTTTCTTCCACCATAAGAGCATAAGAAGGTGAGTCTGGTGGATCAGACCAATGGCCCATCTAGTTCTGCTCTTACAGCGGCCACCAGACGCCTGTGGGGAACCTGAAATCAGGATTAGAACTCAAGAGCCCTCTCCCCTTTAGTGGCTTCTAGTAACTAGTAGCCATCAATTGCCCTCTCCTTCAAAAATTTGTCTAATTCTCAATTAAAGCCATCCCAAAGGGGGCCCATCATTAATTCTTATAAGAGCATTGTGAAGTACTTTCTTTTAAAAAATATTATTATTATTATTATTATTATTATTATTAGTTTTCCAAAAGAAAATAAAACAAATTGTACAACATTTTCCAATTAGCATTCCATAAGTATTCATCTTCCCCTCCACCCTTCCATGGTTTCCTCAAGTTTTCTAATACTGCTACATATTACAGTCGTACCTTGGAAGCCAAACGCCTTGGCTCCCAAACAAATCGCCTCCCAAACGATTGAAACCCAGAAGTGAGTGTTTTAGCTTTCGAGCAATTTTTGGAAGCCGAATGTCCGGCGTGCCTTCTGCACTTTCCGATTGGCTGCAGGAGCATCCTGCAGCCAATCGGAAGCCACACTTTGGTTTTTGAATGGTTCCAGGAGTCAAACGGACTTCCAGAACACATTCTGTTCGAAAACCAAGGTACCACTGTATCATTATTCTAAACCAGGCATAGGCAAATTTGGCCCTCCAGATGTTTTGGGACTACAACTCCCATCATCCCTAGCTAACAGGACCAGGGATGATGGGAATTGTAGTCCCGAAACATCTGGAGGGCTGAGTTTGCCTATGCCTATTCTAAACCTCTCTTTTACTATATTCTCAGATATACATTTTAGTGCTGTCTTTACTCCAAACCTTGTGTTTTAACATGTTTACAATACATATTTTTTAATAGTCTACAAACATATTCAAATCCTCCTTGAAAACTGTCTCATCTTACTCTCCACCTCTTGGTAATTCAGCTTATCCCATCAGTTTCAATGGCCCATCTTTTCTAGTAGGTACTGCCTCATCTCGCTGTTTTTGAACATATAATATTCTCACTGAGGTTGTCGCATATAAGAATAAATTCCTTTGGTTTTTTTATACATCTGTCCCAGTTATCCCCCAAAGAAGCACTTCTGGTCTTTTGGGGAGAGTCCTTTTTTTTGTCCTAAATCTTCCAAGATTCCGCTTCATTGGATGCCCATCAGTTCAAGTGTGAAGGAGAAAAACTATTCTCTAGCCACTATCTCCATGACTTCATAGATGTATCCAAGTATGCATGAATGTGGTGTCCGGCAAGTCTCCCATACAGACAACTGACTGGACAGAGACCTGAATAGCTTCAGGAAGATGGTGGCCTCATGTGCCTTTGGACATGATCGTCAGGTGACTGCCATTTTCAACAACAGACCTGTGCTGCTCATGCCATCTATCAGGTCACTTTCAGAAAGCAACAGTCTCCATGCATGGGGTATGATAGGCTGACCAACTCATTGACCGATTGGGGACTAGCTGCCACTAGGACCCTAACCAGTGTCAAAGCAATGATTCTTCAACATCAACTTCGTTGGACTGGTCATGTTGTGTGGATGCCTGATTATTGTCTTCCAAAGCAACTAACTCTATTTTGAACTTAAAAATGGAAAAGAGGTTTAAAGACTCTTTCAAGGCAAATCTAAAAAAAAAAAAAAAGTAGTATAAACTCCGACAACTGGGAAACACTGGCCTGAGAGCGTTTCAATTGGAGAACAGCCTTTACCAAAGGTGTCATGGACTTTGAAGATGCTCAAACTAAGGACGAAAGGGAGAAACGTGCTAAGAGGAAGGCAAATTTGGCAAACTCTCACTGTGATCAGCTCCCACCCGGAAACCTATGTTCCCACTGTGGAAGGATGTGTGGATCCAGAATTGGCCTCCACAGTCACCTACAGACTCACTGTTAAAACCATGTTCATGGAAGACAATCTCACTCGGTTATGAGTGATCGCTAAAGAAGAAGAAAAAAGAGGACCCTAACTTCCAGAACTATCTCTTTTAGGACCATCTCATCTGCTCACATTCCTTTTCCCATTCATAGCAGGTTTGTTAGATTGTAAGCTTGCTGGCTGAGACTGTGCTGGTAATTCTTTTTTAAAAAAATATTTTATTTAAACAAAGTCTAGTGATACATTTATAAACAGAAATGGGATAAACTACATAAACAAATATCTTACCATATAATGCTCATTCCAGTAATGCACAAAACAATTCCATCTCTCTGCATACATAATATTCCATTTTACACCTTCTCTTTTCCCAATAGCACCTATCAATTTATCCTACGCTGCCACTTCTGACACAATTCATTAGCCATTCCCAAACAGTTGGTACATTCTGGTCTTTCCATTTTCTTACCCAAACGATTTTTTGCAGCCATTAGTAAGACAGAGACTAAAGATCTCAATCTCTTCTTCATCTCACTTTCAACCAAGTTAAGACAAAATCAACAAAACAGTAGGTCTTCTTATAAGGCCTGCTACATCTGAAATGCGCTGTGAAATTGTTCTCCAGCAAGTTGTAGCAAATGGGCGTGCCCAACACACAAAGACAGCATATTCAATTTTGCCACCCAAGGCAGAATTAGATCACAGCAGCAACTCACACAGAGACACAATGGACAACCTCTTTTGAGGGGAGGCGATTCTCCCTGGTTGCTGCATGGGGAGTTATGGCATGATCAGAAATACACACAGCCCAGCATTAGCTAGCCAGATATAACATCTCGGATTCACAAACCAGGTGGCCATATTCTGTCCCTTTCTGACCTCAGAAGCAGAACAATACTGAGTGTTGCGGTTTATTATTGTGCTGGCAAAGCAATTGGCCTTTATTACATACTGGAATCAAATAAGAGGTGCTGTTTTTGTACTGCTTTCTTCATTTATTTTATGTGGGAGAATGGCTTGGTGGAGAATTTTATTTTTATTTAAAAATCACACTTACTATAAATTATAAAACAGATATTAAAACTAATTTCCAGTTAATGCTCGACTCTGGCCATCAAAAACTTAGCCCTAACCGAAAGATCTTGCAAAATTTTTGTTGTGGTGGTTGTCATTGTTTTATTAACGTTTTATTGCAAACAAATATTGTCCTCTTCCCCATTTCCATCCTTTCCCAAGCTATCTCCTATGTGGGCATCCCACACAATTTTGAAAGTGTCCAGTGATGGACTGGAATCTAGTCAATAGTAACAGCTTCCATGGTACCATGCCCTCTCCTCGTTCTCAAGCCCACCACATCTGCTTCCTAGCTGATCCCACCTCCCCACCTGAACCTAACCCCTTTCACACTCTGTATATGAACTCCTGACCAAGACACTGACCAGGAGAAAAGATAAGGAATGGGGGAAATACAGCAAATGGAGAGGGAGGGAGAGGTGGCAACTCTAACCAGAGAACGTTGGACAGTGAAACGGACTCAGGAGGTGATGAATTCTCCTTCACTGGAGGTTTTTAACCAGAGGCTGGATGACCACATGTCAGGGGCATGTTAACTGTGCTTCTAGCATTTCAGGGGGTTGGACTAGATGACCCTTGGCATCCCTTCCAACTCTACAATTCTCTCATTCTCTGTCTACAGAAACCCTACAACTCACAGTAGCATCAGCTTACCACCTCTACGCAAAAGAACCCGCATAGTGTAGTGCGGTTAGATAACTGACAAGCATGTATCATGTTGTCATTTAGGCAAGCACTGAATACATTTTTAATTACAGATAGGTAGCCGTGTTGGTCTGCCATAGTCAAAACAAAAAAATTCCTTCCAGTAGCACCTTAAAGACCAACTAAGTTAGTTCTTGGTATGAGCTTTCATGTGCATGCACACTTCTTCAGATACACACTGTGTGTATCTGAAGAAGTGTGCATGCACACGAAAGCTCATACCAAGAACTAACTTAGTTGGTCTGGAAGGAATTTTTTTGTTTTTACATTTTTAATGTTTAAGAAGGCTTTCCCTGAAGTCTGCCCCAGTCATTTCATGGAATAATAATTGCACACTTGTTTTTAATTGCACCGAGTTGGTAATATTTCATTTGGTGTTGTTTTTTATCTTATTCTATTGTGTGCCACTTTATAAATCTGCAAATAAATAAATGCATGATAAATAAATTTTGTTGTTGTTTAGTCGTTTAGTCGTGTCTGACTCTTCATGACCCCATGGACCAGAGCATGCCAGGCACTCCTGTCTTCCACGATAAATAAATAGCAGATCACATTTCAAATACACCATCTGTTAAGACTTAAAAAGGTGAAAGGCTGAACAAATCCCCAAGAACTGGTTCACCTACGATAGGTCAAAAAGGTAAAGGCCCCCTGGATGGTTAAGGCCAGTCTAAGGCGACTATGGGGTTGCGGCGCTTATCTCGCTTTCAGGCTGAGGGAGCCAGCGTTTGTCCACAAACAGCTTTCTGGGTCATGTGGCCAGTATGACTAAACTGCTTCTGGAGCAACGAGGCACCTTGATGAAAACCAGAGCGCAAGGAAACTCCGTTTACCTTCCCACCACAGCAGTACCTATTTATCTGCTTGCACTGGTGTGCTTTCGAACTGCTAGGTTGGCAGGAGCTGGGACAGAGCAACGGGAGCTCACCTTGTCGAGCGGATTCGAACCGCTGATCTTGAAATGATCAGCAAGTGCCACCCGCTCCTCCTACACCTATGATAGTAACATAGAAAGCTGCCTTACATGCAGTCTGACCCAAGGCTTTTTTTTCAGCTGGAATTTGCCAGCGTTCAGTTCCGGCACCTCTCATGTGGGTGCCATTGCCATTCTAAGACAACGAGGGAGGTGTTAATTGTGAGTTCCGGCACCTAGAAAAATACCACTGTCTGACCATTACTCCATTGTGCCCGGTATTGTCTATGCCAGGGGTCAGCAAACTTTTTCAGCAGGGGGCCAGTCCACTGTCCCTCACACCTTGTGGGGGGCTGGACTATATATATTTTTTTTAAAAAAAATGAACGAATTCCTATGCCCCACAAATAACCCAGAGATGCCTTTTAAATAAAAGCACACATTCTACTCATGTAAAAACACCTGGCAGGCCCCACAAATAACCCAGAGATGCATTTTAAATAAAAGGACTACTCATGTATAAAAACACGCTGATTCCTGGATCGTCCGCGGGCAGGATTTAGAAGGCAATTGGGCTGGATCCGGCCCCTGGGCCTTAGTTTGCCTACCCATGGTCTATGCCAACTGACAAAGGCTTTCCAGAATTCGAGACTCGGTACATTCACAGCCCTAACTGGAGATGCCAAGGAATTGACACTGAGACATTCTGCATGCAAAGCAGATGTTCTGGCACTGAGCTATAGCCCTCCCCCTGGTGTCCAGTGCCAATTTCAGAGCCACAGTTTTAGGTGTACCCTGTTAGTGTTTAAGATTACCTATGAGCACGTGCAGGGGACGCGGGTGGCGCTGTGGGTAAAACTGCAGTGCCTAGGATTTGCCGATCGTATGGTTGGCGGTTCGAATCTCCGTGGCGGGGTGAGCTCCCGTCGTTCGGTCCCAGCTCCTGACCACCTAGCAGTTCAAAAGCACCCTTAAGTGCAAGTAGATAAATAGGTACTGCTTTATAGCGGGAAGGTAATGGCGTTTCCGTGTGCTGCGCTGGTACAGGCTCACCAGAGCAGCGTTGTCACACTGGCCACGTGACCCGGAAGTGTCCTCGGACGGGGCCGGCTCCTGGCCTCTAGAGTGAGATGAGCGCACAACCCTAGAGTCGGACACGACTGGCCTTTGGGCAGGGGTACCTTTACCTTTACCTTTTTATGAGCACGTGCAGTTTGCCTTTCCTTCATCACCAAGCAAGGAAATCCTGTGCATCCCTGCTTGTCTGGAAGTACAGAGCTTACAAGGCAGATGGCAGAGCTTCCTTATAGGCCTGAAAACCGGCACCTCTCTTTTTTGGAAATTAAGCACTTGCCCACACACCACTTGACAGCAGACAACGCAGTCCAAAAAATATATATGCCTGGAACATTTATAGCATATGCAGAAGTCAGAAGCTGCGGCTCGTTCGCTCCATTCCAGTGGTCCACGGAAAGCTTGCAGAACTGTGAAAGAATCATAGAGTTGGAAGGGTCACCTAAGGATCATCTAGTCCAACCCCCTGCAATGCAGGAATTTCAGCTAAAGCATCCATGGCAGATCCAATCTCTTCTTAAAAGCCAGTATGGTGTAGTGGTTAAGAGCGGTAGTCTCGTTATCTGGGGAACCAGGTTCGCGTCTCCGCTCCTCCACATGCAGCTGCTGGGTGACCTTGGGCCAGTCGCACTTCTCTGAAGTCTCTCAGCCCCACTCACCTCACAGAGTGTTTGTTGTGGGGGAGGAAGGGAAAGGAGAATGTTAGCCGCTTTGAGACTCCTTAAAAGGGAGTGAAAGGCGGGATATCAAATCCAAACTCTTCTTCTTCTTCTTCTTAAAACCCACCAAGGACGGAGAGTCCACAACTTCTCGTGGGGGACTGTTCCACTGTCGAACAGCTCTTACCATCAGAAAGTTCTTCCTGGGACTCAGCTAGACTGGTGAAGAAAAAGTGATTTATATGCATTGTATGTGCCACTAGAGGGTGATGTGGAGTCCTGGTTTTTCTCTACCTGTTTTCCCTGTTTCAATTTACAACACTTTAAACTGAAACGCTTCTTCGACCCAGGCCTGGTGTTTAGTCGGAATCTTCTTTCTTGGAACTTGGCCCTGCTGCTAATTTTTTTTTTGTTTTGTGAAGATGGAGAACCAGGTTGTTTTCACCAGGGATGGATTATATCCAACTGGCTAGCAATGCCCTCCTGAACACAGGCCAGCAATTTTCATTATTATTATTATTTATTGAATTTATACTTCCCTTCATCCAAGGATGACAGGATGGTTTACAATATAAAAAGATAAAAATACATTCCATAGTAACAAAAGAAAACAATAACACAATGATTTAAAGGCTATAGATTGCTTAAGTAGCCAAAGGCCTGGGAGAAGAGAAATGTTTTTGCCTGGCACATCAAAATATGCAAGGAAGGTGCCAGGAGAGCCTGCCAGGGGAGACAAGCAGGGAGCCACCACAGAAAAAGCCATGTTGCCATCCTCAATTAATCAATCAATCTCCAGTCGATATAACTATCCTTCCACCCCCAACTTTACGTTATAAAGGAGGCCTTCCCAGGAGCCTGGCCTAAGGCCTGTGAATATCACTCATAATACAGCATCGGTTTCGATGAAGATACAGATGCCAAAGGAAAAGCAAGACCCCCAGCAATTGTCAAGTGGTCTGCACACACAAAAAGTTCGAGAACTGCTAGCTTAAAATTATGCATCCTGTGCCACTTACACCAATCACAGGAAACAGGGGTCAGTTCACTGACCCCAATATCATTGACTCTGACTGGCAGCAGCTGTCCAGGGTCTTGGGCAGATGTCTGCGCCCCCTCCCATTCAAAGCATGTGCTCTACCACTGAGCTATGGCCTGCTCATAGCTGCGAGTGTTGCCGTTTAAATCTAGCTTGGGCTCCTCCTGTGCCTTAAAAAAAACAGCTTGGTGCTTATGAATCACATACTTTTTACTGTATGGAGATATAAACATCATGGCCTGCTAATTTTGGAGCATCGAATCGATGTTTTACATCGGCTGATTGGGGTGGGTGGGGAGATGGCAATTAGCATCGCCACTTGATTGGGGAGGGGGAAATCCAGCCTAGGCTGGGCGCGTGGCTTTTAACAGCAGCCTTATTTTACAGACGAAGAGCTGACGAAGCTTTTAGGGAGAAAAAAAGTCATTCGTGGAGGAGAGGATTCATCGACGGCTACTAGCCATGATAGACCTGCCCTGCTTCCACAGCTGGAAGGAACAATGTTTCTGGATAGCAGCTGCTGAAAACCACAGGAGGGGAGTGCTGCTGCGCTCGAATCCTGCCTACTGGTTTTCCCACGGACATCTGGGAAAACAGGGTGCTTAACTAAATGAGCCATCCTGCATAATCAATAACAAGACCCGGTGCACACATACCATTGAAATGGCAATGCCCATCAACTTTGGGGAAACCTGGTCCCCTCAAATATTTTAATGCAACTCAGCCCTGAACCTGGCCTGATCCAGCTTCTCATGTGCTTACGAAGCAGTCTGCCTCCACCCTCCGCTCAATTCCCCGTTAAAGGCACAGGCGGCGCGGCTGGGCTTTTGTTTTTTTAAAGTTGGCAACCTCCGCACCAACTCGGTACTTTCCGATTCCGACTGCATACGGCTCGGGGTTTTTTTCTTTGAGCAGCACCTCCCCGCGGAAAAAAATAAAAACAACGCACAGAGATACGCACACCAACGGCTGCTTTAACTCCTCCTCCTCCTCTCTCTCTCTCTCTCTCTATCCCCCCCCCACACGATCTTTGCCCGCCCCCAAACCAAAGCTCCCTCCACTGGCTGCGATCGGCGCTGCGCGCACCGAGCAGGGCGCACGGAGGAGGAAGCGCCACCAAAGACGCGCGACTTTGCTGCGTTTGGGAAACAAAAAGCGGGCGGGCGAGAAAGCGCGCACCCGCCTCCCTCCCGGGAGAGCCGTGCCTTTAAATGCTGGGGGCCGAGCGCTCGCCGGGGACTCCAGCGCCCGCCTCGCTCTCTCCAGCCACCCGCTCCGGCTCCCGCTTGTTGCTCAGGCCGGCTGGCCAGGCGGGCGCGCGGCGCGCAGCCGGAGCGCACAGCGCGGCGACCATGAGCCACCTGCGGCCGGGCTGAGCTGGAGGGGGGAAGCCACAACTCTCTGTTGGCTGTTGCTCCCCCCACCCCCCAGGGGAGACGAATAAGCCTTCAGGAACCAGGCGGACTAACCGGCTCCCCAGGAGCCTCGCAGCGGCGGCGTCGCTTGGTAAGTTTCCAGCGCCGTCGCCGCCACCAGCAGCCGCTCTCCGGACGGAGGAGGAGGAATAGGAGGAGCGGGGGAAGGTATGGGGAGTGGATCAGGTGACGGCAGCCAGGCACACCTGGGCTGATCTCCGGCTTGTTTGTGCAGAGAAGGCGGCGGGAGAGGTGAGTGGTTCTCTCGGGCTACCGCCGGCTGCTCGCGTCTCTCTCGGGCTGTAGCTGGGCAGTCTGGTGGCCGCCGGCGGCACCCCGCCCCTCCTCTCCCTCCCCCACCCCATCCCACCCCCCAAAAAACTTTGATCGCTGGAGGAAGAATGTGATGGAGGAGCGCGAGGGGGAGCGCAGCTCGCGGAGAAAAAGATCCCGCTGGGAAAACTCACCCGCGATTCGATAAATGAACGAAGGTGGCCGGCAACTGGGCTGGGCTTTCAGCGTGTTCTCCGGCAAACACTCCCTCGTAGGCAAAGGCAAAGTTAGCCCAGACGTGGAGTCGCATTTTAAGGCTTTGGTTATCCTTCGGGTGCTTTCCAAATCAATTCGGGAAGAAGCGCTTCAATAACGCTGTAAGAGTCCCGTTTGCATTTTATATATATATAAACGCTGATAGGAGAATGTGTGACTTGCCCCTTACGAGCCCTAAATGTTTGGAATGAAGTCTTACTGAATGAAATTGGACTTCATTCTCTCAATAAGAGTGTTCGCTGGTGGCAAGGGGCTGTTCCAACCTCAGCCTCTCCTTGGCACTATGGAGAGAATGGCCTACCTTGCTGGGTAGTCGGATGAACTGATTAGATGATGATGGTCTATGCCAGTGGTTCCTAATTAGCTAAGTCCTGTGGACCCCGTTTTTCAAAAGCCAAGCCATGGACCCCCCCACACACTTTTGAATTTTTTATATATATTTCTTGGGTAGTTTTGTTATGTGAATAGTACCACAGTCCCTACTGGGTGGGTTACGCAAACTCCCAGTTGGGAACCACTGGTGTATGGGAAGTGCTTTGGAGACTCGGGAAGAAATGCAGAATTTTAATCCTGGCATTTAATTGCCATTTCTACTGCTGCTTATTTTTTCATGCCCTTATCTGCTCTTCAGAGACATAGGAAGCTGCCTGGGATGGTTTGGTCATCTAGGTCAGTATCATTTACAGCGACTGGCAGGGGACATTGCCACCTTTCCTGTAGATACCAGGGACTGATCATGAGACCTGAGGTGCTTTTCCACTGAGCAGTTGCCCTTCTTCTGTCTGGCCACTGTCAGAAGTGGGGTGATGAAGCAGGTTGATGGGCCTTATCCAGTAGCATCCTTCTGATGCTCTTACTAGAAAGGGCATAAGTGATGGAAGGGGGACCACCCCTGTGAATTTTGAGAATCCCCCAGGATCAAATGCCCAGCAAAAGCAGCATTTTCATCTTGGGTCCCTTCGGCTCTGCTCGGCCTTCTCACAGGAGTCGGCCGATGGAACGATGCAGATATCAAACTCTGTGCAGCAAGAGTCAAAGTGAGATTTTGCTCACAAGTTAAGTGTGCCTGGGGCTGGAGCCTGAAACTTACCCTGCCTGGCCTCTGACTGTGTGGAGAGCTGATCATCGTCTCTAAGCTCTAGCCTTGCTATGTTCTGTGGTCCCCCTGGGTTTCTGAGGCCTTGCCAGAGCATGGTATTGATCAGTCTAAGAAATAAGCCAGGCACATTTTGTACCTGGCTTCTATTGGCCACTTGTGACCAGGTGAAGATGCCTGGGTGCCTGACATCTCCACCATCTGGAGGTGCATGTCTGGGGATCCTTGGGTCTTGATTGTTTTCACACACGAGCAACACATCCTGTAGAATTCAATCAGTTCTATTTTATCTCCGCAATTGGAATGAATTTCAAGAACCAAAATGCTTTTTCTGTGCAGCCTGAGCAGGAGCAGTGAACAACATTCTAGTTAACTGTTGTCTTCACTTATTCCCACCCAACTGCCCTGCCCACACTTGTGAAGGATAGTCTTACGTTATGAATGGTCCATGTCACCATGAAGAAAAAGAGGCCAGAATAGGCTAATATATATGTGGACTATCCCTGGATCAAGTGACTTTTCTTCTTGAAGTTCAAGGTTGTCATCTGAACTAGCCAGATATTTAATTGAGAATCAATCACAGCCAGTCCTTCATTTGAAAAATTAGAGCAGTCTTTCCCCAAAATGCCAACTAGACATTCCATTTAGGTGACTGCAACCCTGGTTTAAGGAGACATTTGGCGCCTAGCTATCTGAATTTCTAACACTGGCTATTGATGCTTGCCACAGGTCCCCCCCAAAAAGAACAACTGACTTCCTTCATCAGAGCCACCACAGAGTAAATGTTGGTGTGACTGCAAGGCTAGCTTTGTAATGCAGTAGAAGCTTTTTTGCTTTGTGGAACTGCTCCAGAGCTCCTCTTCTGGAGCTTGCATCTGGTAGTGCTATGGGAAGTAGAAACAAAGGGTTGTTTTGTTTTGGCGACTCGGTTGTTGTGGGTTTTGCTTTGACTCCCAGGTTCTTTAAATAAAATGCTCAGGTTTATGGCTAGCAGCTCTTGTCCTTTCTGGTTCCTCTCCTTGCTCTGATAGCTTCTTCCCTCCTCTTCAGATGTAGGTTGTTTGTTAAGATTAAGGAGCCTGTCGCTTTGCTCCTGTTACTCTATAGCAGGGTTTCCCAAACTTGGATGTCCAACTGGTTTTAGACTACAACTCCCATCACTCCTAGCTAAGCAGGACCAGTGGTCAGCGATGATGGGATTTGTAGTCCAAAAACCACTGGAGAGACCCAAGTTTGTGAAACTCTGTTCTATAGGGATGGGTACACTGTGGTCCTCTGGACATTCCTGGACTGCAACTCCCATCACCCTTGATCACTAGGACTGATGGTAATTGGAGTCCAGAGGGCCACAGCTTTGCCAACTTTGTTATCAAGCAGTGTTTCCCAAACCCAGGTCTTCAGGTGTTTTGGGACTACAATTCCCATCATCCCTTGCTAGTTAGAAATGGTGGGAGTTGTTCAAAAATTGTTAGAGACCCAAGTTTTGGGAAACACTGCTATAAAGTAAAATGGCATGCTGATATGATCTCATTTAGCAACAATGAAATTGAGACAAGTATCCTCTCGGCATTCATCCTTCCCAAAGAGTAGCAAATAATTTGGTGGGCAGGGGTAAGTGGAAGGGAGGATAATCATGGCAGCAGTTGCCTTTTCTTTTTTTACCACATTTGAATGGTTTTACAAAAAAAATGACATTAATCAATTCCAATGAAACCTGCAGAGTGTTGCATGTGTGCATCAGTCACATATAAAGAGGAAAATTTGAGCGGGGACACTGTCAAATAACTGAATCATAGGGTGCAATGCCAAGACTTCAGCTGCCCATAGCTTCTCCATAAGCAAGCAGCTGGCGGTCTGACATCAGCATCACTTCTGTTTACATAGCTGATAGATGGGAGCCATCCCTTGTCAAAGCGGCCGGGTTTAATTTGGCCTCCTTCTGCATTGTGTTAAGTGCTTGCTTTGTGTGCTCTTCAGCCAAGGCAGCAACCCTAGGCAGGTGGAAAAGTGGTACCCTTTCAGGCTCTCACCTGTTCTGTGACGTCTAGTCCTTCATGTTCCTGTTGCAGATTCATCCCATGTCTCTCAGTATGGTGTAGTGGTTAAGAATGGTAGACTCGTAATCTGGTGAACCGGGTTCACTTCCCCGCTCCTCCACATGCAGCTGCTGGGTGACCTTGGGCTAGTCACACTTCTTTGAAGACTCTCAGCCCCACTCACCTCACAGAGTGTTTGTTGTGGGGGAGGAAGGGAAAGGAGATTGTTAGCCGCTTTGAGGCTCCTTCGGGTAGTGATAAAGCGGGATATCAAATCCAAACTCTTCTTCTCTCTGTTGCATTGCAACTCCCTTCTCTTCTAACAAGTGGGGAAACTTCTTGTTACCTGAGCTCCCTTTCCCAGCATCCTTTGCACCATGTGATACTTCCTTAAGTCTGTTTCCTGCTACAGTTGGAACTGGCTCAAACTGCTGATTGGAGACACACACACCTATAGTTTCCAAACCGATGTGCATCTCATCCTACACACCCCATGTTTTCTGTAGCAACCCCTCTTGGCTGCTCATTGTGTTCCTTTGCACCACATCTTCTTAATGTGGTCTTAGGGAGCCTAGATGAAGCATTGAAATGCTGAGCATCAGCTGAGAAGTGTGTGTGTGTATGTGTGTGTGTGATAATTATGGGGATTGCAGCAAACAGATGGGGGAACGAGACCCTCTCCTCTCCTGCTGAGGTCTTTAGCAAAATCCCTTTTCTAGCCTTGGTGTTTGCTGGGAAGGGGAATCCACCCCCAGCCTCCTCCCCCCCCCCTCACTCAACTGATGCTTGTTGCATTTTTATAAAAAACAGCCGTTTCAGCACAAAGACGTATTTAACATCCTGCCTAGTTCAAGCCTGAAATATCTTTCTTCAACAACTCTGTTCTGTGCATAACCAAAAATATTTCTTCCTCTGTCACTTGTTTGCTCTTTTGTTTTTCCCTCCCCATTCTCTTTAGACTTGCCTGTGTGGTATGGGGAGCTTTTATCCTGTTCTGCAGGTACATTTCCAGATCAAGGGGTTAGGGGAGGTGCTCAGCCACCTACACACAAGTGTTAAAGCAAATGCTTTGCATGTCTAAGATCTCCGGTGCAAGCGCTGGCATTTCTGCTTCAGAAATCTCAAGTAGCAGAGCTCTGAAAGATCCTTGGCTTTAGGCCCTACAGAGCTGCTGTTTGTCAGGGTAGAGGTGCCCTGGGTTTAAATGCTCCGGTCTGGTATAGTTTGGACCTGAGAGTGGTCACTAAGCTGTGTAGGGAGGGCAGAAGCAGATGGTAGATTTAGACACCCAAGGCTGCAGCTCCCAGGGGCTCCTTTTCATCAAGGAGGGCTGGAAGTCGGAGGTCAAGTTACACAAAAGAGTCTCTTACTTTTGGACATGTGTATGATTGCTAGATTTGGGGTGGTTAAGCTCAGGCAGTCCAGCTGATTTTGCTGGACTAAAACCTGCCCTGGCGGCCAGCATGCCCAATGGTCAGGGACACTACAAACTGTAGTCTAGCATCAACTGGAGGGCAACAGGTTTCCCCATGCCTGAACTAGAGACACTGGGGTGGTTGTAACACCGGGGGGGGGGGAGAGAGCTCAGGCTTGGTGGCCGAATGTGGCCCTCCATGTCTTTCAACCTGGCCCTCAGGGCTCTTTCTAGAGCACCAGCCCAGCTTCATGCCCTCATGGGGTGGTTTTGCCTAGCTGGAATGTCTCCTTGGATAATGCCTCTTGCTTGGTTGGATGGAGAAGCAAGTGCAGAAACTCACCGACTGGATAAGGGTAAAATTCGTACCCATTGCCCTGCTCTGTTTTACCTCTGGCCCTGTCCGTCGCTAGCATGTGGCCCCCTGAAATGTTGTTCCCTTGGGTTGGAAAAGATCTCCCACTTTTCCCCTAAGAGTTGCAGTACAGTGGTACCTTAGGTGACATACGCTTCAGGTTACATACGCTTCAGGTTACAGACTCCGCTAACCCAAAAATAGTGCTTCAGGTTAAGAACTTTGCTTCAGGATGAGAACAGAAATCGTGCTCTGGCAGCGCAGCTGCAGCAGGAGGCCCCATTAGCTAAAGAGGTGCTTCAGGTTAAGAACAGTTTCAGGTTAAGTACGAACCTCCGAAACGAATTAAGTACTTAACCCGAGGTACCACTATATTGTGATAAATGGCCATGCAGTTCTGCAACCTGTGAAGTGAGGGGTGAGTTTTTGGGGATTCCACCTGCACTAATGCCTCTGTTGGTTTTTTCCTTTCAGCAGGCATGGGGAACCAAGTGGAGAAGCTGACGCACTTAAACTACAAGGAGGTTCCCACCACAGACCCGACGGGCATGGACAGGGATGAGGGCCCCCGGATTGGGGTCTCCTACATATTTTCTAACGACGACGATGACGTGGAGCCTCAACATGACTCCGTGGCGCCCGACCTCGGCGGAGAGCACCCCACGTCTCAGCCGTACGACCCCCGGCTTCATGAAGTGGAATGTTCCATCTATTACCGCGACGAGTGCATATACCAGAAAAGCTTCTCTGGGGATGCGCCGACGTCCGACGGGGTGGAAGGAGGAGGAGGAGGGGGCCACCTGGCCACCTACACACCAGAAAACCTTTTGAACCGGTGCAAGCCTGGGGACGTGGTGGAGTTTGTCTGCCAGGCCCAGTACCCTCACTGGGTGGTCTACGTTGGGGATTTCCAAGTTGTGCACCTGCACCGGTTGGAGGTAGTGAACAGCTTTCTGACCGACGCCAGCCAGGGCAGGCGGGGACGTATTGCTAACCAGCTGTACCACTACAAGCCTCTGAGCCCGGCCACAGTGGTGCGGAACGCCCTGGACCAGGTGGGCTGCAAGGACCGGGACCTCAGCTGGAGGAACTCGGAGTGCTTTGCCGCGTGGTGCCGCTACGGCAAGCGCGAGTTCAAAATCGGCGGCGAGCTGCGGATAGGCAAGCAGCCATACCGCTTGCAGATCCAGCTGGGGGAGAAGCGCAGCCACACCCTGGAATTCCAGAGTCTGGAGGACCTCATCATGGAGAAGCGGAGGAACGACCAGATCGGGAAGGTGGCTGTCCTCCAAGAACTGTCCAGCCACCTGCAGCCGGCCGAAGACGCCGACGGCAAGGATCCCGGGGCCCAGACAGCCAACGAGTAAGCGGGGCTTGCACCGCTGGGCCCAGCCTGGGTGACACGATTAAAACTGAAGGCGGAGAAACTGAGCTGTTATAAGCCCCTTTGGGCTGCTTCAGGGTGGCTTCACTCCAATCACATGTGAAGGGAAGTGTGTGTGGGGGGGAAGCTGATTAAGTGTCTGTACTTTAGCACTTAACTCCTTCCGCGCTTGGTAGAACCAGCAACTTTACTTTTTTATTTTGTTTTGTTTTTTGGTCAAGGGTTAAAACTCAGGGAGATCTTCCTTCCTCTCTGTTCTGGCGTGGTTTTCTCTCCCCCAGCCGGCTCCAAGTCTGTGCTTTTAGCTCCTGCAGCTTTAAATTTGGGTGAAGTCCAGTGGCTCTGGGCTACATGATTAAAATGCGGAGCCGGAAAGTTCCCCTCTGCTGTCTGTTTCCCCCCTCCTTTACCTCCTAGTTTGCATTGGCATTTCTGGAATCTATTTCAGTCCTGGCCTCCCCAACCTCCCCTGCCCCCATTCCTCCAAGAATCTAATGGCTAAATCACTGTTAACGCCGTAGAATGGGGTTGTTGGCCTGTTTGCATTGGCTTCTTAATAAAGAGAAGCCAGCCTTTGGAAGGCTATGGGATGGAGGCTCCTGGGTCCCCTTTGTGGGATCTCTGGAAGGAGCCCTTGTTATTAGACTCCTGCTCCCATCATCCCTGTCCATTGGCCATGTTGGCTGGGGGACGATGGGTGTTGGAGTCCTGCAACATCTAGAGGTCTACTGGTTCCACATCCCTGGTGTAGGAGGACAGTTGCAACTTCTTTTCACTTTTAACCGAGGAGCCTAAAATATGTTGGCAGAAAGTTGGCTTCTGTTTCCTGGTAGCAGGGCAGATTTCCTTCGGGTGCTACTGAAATGGTTGGCAAAGCTTTCCCTTGAATTCTGTTGAGCCATATGACCCACTTTCAATATATCTCACAGGCCAGTTGGGGGTTTTTTTTGGGGGGGGGGATCATACTATTTTGGTGGCAGTGGGAGAAGGATTAAATCCACGTGGCACCATTGGGATGTGAATTGGCTTCATAGCCACATAATGTTTGGGCACATCTATGTTATTGCAAAATGTGTATTAATTCTACACAATTTAATTGCACACTAGGAACTGATAGCTCCCCCCCTTTTTTAAGGTCTCTGGGTCCAAAATTTCTGGGTTTGCATGACAGTTGGCTTGGAGGGCAGACATACCCTGATTTAATTGCTTTTGGAGATCAGGTTCTTAGTGATTTTGAAGAAACTGGTTGTCTCGATCAGTTTGTATTGTAATTTGGTTTGCTTACGAAATTGATTTCAGGATCCCAGGAAAACTGTTTCTGAAAGGTTGGGGTTTTTTCACCCTTTCCCTTTCCCTTTGCACCTCAGTAAGATCTGCAGATCGTAGAAAGCCCTCTCCCTTTCTGAGTAGCGGTTTGGCAGTAGACTAGGCTTATCTGTTGCCTGAAGTTATGGTGGGTTTTCAAGCTGTGTTCTGGCTTCACCTGCTGCACGTAGATTCCTCCGGAAGCCTTTTTAAGTTCATCCCCATGTGCCGCTGCGCCACAACGATATTGTTGGGGGAAGAAAGAGGGAGCAATTGTTCTCCTTTTGGTGATAGATCTGATTTTTAAAAGCCATTTGACTCGTCAAGGGATCGTAGTTGCAGAAGGAGAGAGATGCAAAGCCTTCCTTTGTAGTGGCTTGCTAGCGCAGGGTAACAATTGAATTGGCCCTGTTTTTTGAAAGCTCTTTTCACTTCAATGGGGTTTATGTAATAGCCATGCTTGATGGGTTGTTTTCTGCCTGAGAATTGCATCCCACTTCCTAGCATTCAGAGAACACAACAGGGTCCTTCACACAAATGGGGCGAGGAAGAGAGAGCTTATTTCTTGAATGAGCCACCGGATTGACTTGAGGTAGCAAGAATTAGTACTGTACTTGAAAGCAAAGTGTTTTCAATGGAATTAAGCAGAATATATAGTATATCCTCCCCCCCCCCTCTTACAGCTTGCAGTTCTCCACTACTTGATGCAAAAAAGGATTCCTTTGCCCTGCTGTCCATTGCAAGATTGGATCATATGTAATCGGAGAGAGTGGGCTGTACTCCTCATGAAACATACTTTGGGGTATTCCCACGAGAGTTAGCAGGTCTGTTCCAGGGCAAGCAACTTTTGGGTTGCGAGTAGTTTGGAAGGCAAAGGAATTTCAAGTTTGATTCGGTTGTCGTGACTCTGAAGTTAAGGAAACTGTAGCACATAGGAAACGGTTTCTTAGCTTCCCCTAACACTTTCTGTCTGTTCTTGGGATACACTGTTCTGTTGCAGCGGCAACTAGGTAAACCCACAAGCCAGATCATTTGTCTTAAACCAACGTAATATGGCGCCCTGAAAGCCGTTTTCAACAGTAATCCCGAAGTGGCTTGCTCTGAAGTATTCAAACCTGAAGTTAGTGGTTCACCTCAAAGAATACAGCAGGTTGTACATTCAACAGAAAAAAGTGGTAGAGGCTTTCCAGGGCTGTACCACTTTAGGCTGCATTTGTGGGGGGGTCACATGATTGGATGCTTCTCTTCCCAGAACAAACACAAACCTTCCCTTAGCATAGAAGACGCACGCCACAAATGTTCATATCACAATTTTCTCTGTGTCGTAAACAGAGTCTTATCCAATGCGGCACTCGAGATATGTGATTGCCCCCCCCCCCATACTTTGAAATAGTACAGTCCAGGAAAACAAAGTTGCTGCTTCATTCTGCTGAATGTAGAACTCCCCAGAAACTTGCAGCGCTTGTCTGATTCTTGCACTCCAAGCAAACCCACACTTGATTTGACTTAGCTGGGTTGTGGGCTGTTGCATCACTGTTTGTTTTTGGGTGGAGGGATAGCAATGCTATTATTTCACCAACCAGTTTCTGAGCTTTTCGTTTTGAGATGACGGAAAGTTCACGATAATTTCTCGAGGAAGCCACCGGTGTCGGAAAACACGGGCCAGCTTCCAAGTCGTGTGCTCCAGACCATGAGACCCCCTAAACAGCTGTGCACAATGCACAAGATCTGAAGGTGGCATTGAGGAGCAGGATGCAGCTCCTGGCATGCTTCCGAGGCTGTTGTCGGTGCACCTGCCTACGCCGGAAAAATCCTGCTTCCGGTGATGTCGTCCCGTTGGTGGGCGTGAGCTGTGGGCTTGGTCTCTGTCCTTGCAAGATGGAAATGGCACCTGAGCATTGGGGGGGGGGCACTTCCTATATACACGAGCCAGTTATGAACACCAATTGAGTACTTCCTGTCATTGTGCCCCCCCAGAAATCTGTGGCTTCTTCCCTCCTCCTCCCCCTGTGGAATAAAAGGTTTTAAGGATGCCCTAAAATAGGGCGATGTCTCGGAACTGGGCTTGATGCTGGAGTAGCCATTGCTTATCCTGGAACCTGCAACTTGTTTGGCAAGGGGATGAGTGTGTAAGAGGGGTTGTTTCAACGGGTGAAGCAGTGGGTGGGAAGCGATGTCTTGTTTTGCTGTTTTCCTGCCCCTTGATCCATAGACGTGTGTTGTGCAGTGTCGCCTGAAGGAAAACAATGGGGAGGGATTGTAGGAGAAAAGCAGCAGGTGGAGGAAGGGTTAAGCCAGGGGTCGGCAGCGTGCCCACGAGCCACCCCCTAACCGAACCGCTCGCTCGGTGAGTCCCCCACGCACTGCGCTAAACCGGTGCAGCACGGGGACTCGCCGAGCGGCACCGGAAATCACATCTGCGCATGCACAGATACCAGAAATTGCGTCTGCGCATGTCCAGATGCCGAAAATCACTTGGGCATGCGCAGAAGCGATTTCTGGCACCGTGGACGTGCGCAGACGTGATTTCACTCTGCACCAGTCTGGCCCACACCACAGATAATCTCCATGGGAGTGATCCAGCCCATGGCCAGTAAACCGTTCTGACCCCTGGGTTAAGCACTCACATGTTCCTCCTCCCCTTTCCCCTCCATAGCTTTTCTGGTGGTCACACATCTGAGTTTTCCCCTGAAAACTTAGCTCTCCCTTCGGTATAAAGCCTCTGTCCCAAGTCTACAGAAGGGAGGGTTGTGGCAGATGACACCTTCTTCCAGCACTTTGGTGCCATAACAGGTGAGGAAGCAGTACCTGCTGCAATTCTCCTTTCATTAAACCACTATTAAAGGCACAACGGAGCCTTGGCTTCCTGTTAAATCCTTCAACTGTATCCTGGCTCCAGAGTCGATTCTATAAAGTTATTAATGATTCCGGTCCTCAGTTTTGTGTAGGACGAGATTTATTCCACTATGTGACGAGTGGTTGTAAAATTATATTTTCTTACACAAGTATTTTTTTTGAAAGAAAGCCTATAACGAGAATATTTACATTTCTTGAAAGTTGTTGTATTATTTTCACACGCAAAAAAGAAAAGAAAAAAAGAATATCCTCCAAATCGGTTATTATTTTTGTCATTGGTGATCTAAAAGTATTTTCTAGGTCATAAATCTACTGTAAAAGAAACTATAGATGTCAAACATTGTGAATCTATGTATCTACAAGGTACTAAACTGTAACTTTACTGTGAAAATTATTTTCCCCTGTGTGTCCGAAACACTGAAGATGGTTTTGGGGGAGGAACTTTTTCTCATCAGCTTTTATTCCCCCCCCCCAAAAAAAACCCATGATGTGCTTTATTTGTAAAAGCAAATACTTATTCATTGTTGGACAGCTGCTCAGGTTTAAACAAAACTCATTTGTTAACTGATGTGTTGGAATGATCATGCTTTTATCTTGACAAATGCGTAATGCGCATGGAGTTGGTCGGATGGAAAGATCAGGAAAGGCTGCAAAAACACCCCCACAACACCCTGTAGAGCAGAAAATTATAGGAAGAAGCTGTAGTAACCATCTCCCCTTAATATTCTGTGTAGGAGGTCACTACAAGTCACTCTCCTATTTAGCACCTTGTGAGTAATATACATAAGGGGGGGGGGACCTTGCTTACTAATGAGAGTAGATCCACATGACTTGAGACCTGCCAAGTTGAACACAAACCATTAGGTCCTCAATAAACTTTCTTTTTTGCAGCAAAATTGGGCGTGTCAAGCCCCATGGCGGGCCACAATACATGTCTAGGGTAGGGGCAGGAATTTGGTGACTGATGAATCATACAGGCCTGAACTAACCCCATGTCACACCTTAGCTCCTTGTTTTCTAAATCCTCAACCAGAATGACATGACCAGGAATGATGGCAGATGTTTGCAAGCTAGCAGGGCTGTCTGCAGGTTTATGAATGCTGCACCAGCCCTCGGAGCTCCATGCTGGGGGCTGTACTGCAGAAGGGGCTATAATCTGCTCCCTTAATTGAAAACATGCTTATCTTCCCCCTCTCTCCTTGTAGGATCTGTTTCCACTTCAATAAGAAGGCTGCTGGTGTCCCAAGAGCTCAAAGCACAAGGCAAACCTCCTTTGGGTGAGGCACTGGCAGGTGCTGGGACAGTGATGGCCAAACTTGGCCCTCCAGCTGTTTTGGGACTACAGTTCCCATCATCCCTGACCACAGCTAGGGATGATGGGAGTTGTAGTCCAACAACAGCTGGAGGGCCAAGTTTGGCCATCACTGTGCTGGGAGAATGGGAGGTCCTCCCAGCCATGGTGTAGACACAGATTGGGTCAAATGTCCATTGCTTCCCTGCCTGTCCACACGTTGAGTTGGTGATGCTGAAGAATAGCCTGCTAGGCCTGCACTTTGGTGTGTGTTCTTTGGCCTTGAGCTTTCCACTCCTTGGTTTGACCGGTCTGTCCCCAAACTGGGAACGAGTAGAGCTGTGTGGGCATATCTGCACTTACACTTGTGTAATTGCTGTGGCTTCCCACCAAGAACCATGGAGGTTCCATCACCAATGATGGTTCTTCAGTTTCTGTGAAGGGTGGGAGTGGGATGACTATTATATGTGTCCAAGATACAGCTATGCCTTCTGTTTCACTACATGGCATTCAGTGCTAGTCCTACTCAGAGTAGATCCATTTAAGCTAGTAGACATGGCTAATGTCATTAATTTCAGTGGGTCCACTCTTAGTAGGACTTGATTTTAGCACTAAGCGGAGCGATGGAATCATCTCCCCTCTCTTCCCCCCATGTTCTGCTTTTGGGTTACTCTTGACCCTCTTGGGTAGATTTGAGGGGAAAACCCCATTGTGTTCCTGGAGTCTCCCAGTAGCAGAACACGTTAGGGAGGGACACATTCACACCAAACATTTAAAGAGCTATGATACCACTTTAAACTGTCATGTCTCTTCCCCCCTCCAAAAAATTCTGGGAGCTGTAGTTTGTTAAGGGTGCTGAGAGCTGTTAAAGGTAAAGGGACCCCTGTCCATTAGGTCCAGACGTGACCAACTCTTGCGGAGCTCATCTCGCTTTATTGGGACAGTGGACCGGCCCCCTGCTGAAAAAGTTTGCTGACCCCTGTGGACCTATTCGAGCATTCTAACCCAGGGTTCCCCAAACTTGGGTCTCTAGCTATTGTTGGACTACAATTCCCACCATTCCTGACCCCCTGGTCCTGCTAGCTAGGAATGATGGGAGTTATAGTCCAAAATCAGAGGGAGACTCAAGTTTGGGAAACCCTGCTCCAGCTGCTACGACACTGACTTTCAGAGGATTAAAGGTAAAGGGACCCCTGACCATTAGGTCCAGTCGTGGCTGACTCTGGGGTTGCAGCACTCATCTCGCTTTACTGGCCGAGGGAGCCGGTGTACAGCTTCTGGGTCATGTGGCCAGCATGACTAAGCCGCTTCTGGCGAACCAGAGCAGTGCACGGAAACGCCGTTTACCTTCTCACCGGAGCGGTACCTATTTATCTACTTGCACTTTGACGTGCCTTCGAACTGCTAGGTTGGCAGGAGCAGGGACCAAGCAATGGGAGCTCACCCCATCGTGGGGATTCAAACTGCCAACCTTCTGATTGGCAAGTCCTAGGCTCTGTGGTTTAACCCACAGCGCCACCCGTGTCCCTTTGAGAGTTGTTAGGAGGCCTCTATTCATCTCCCAGAGCTACAATTCCTGGAGAGTCCTGTGAAGAGTGAATTATTAAAGCACTTTGGGAATTATGAAGGGAATAAGGGTCTCCTAGCAACTCTCAGCCTCCTTAAACTACAGCTCCCAGAATTCTGTGGAGAGGGGCAGCCACGACTGTTCAAAGTGGTATCATAGCATTTAAAATGTATGGTCTGAATGTGACCTTAGCACTGTGTTGAATTCCACTGCTTAACTTTGAGTCCCCGCCCCCCCAGCAATGCCTATGGGATTCCTCTGGAGTAAGTGGCTTGAATGTTTGAACCTTAATGTCAGAGCTGCCCGAGGTCCCAGCTCACAAAGGACCAACGCCAGTTCGTTGTTATATACAAAAGTCTTTATTGAAGTTCAGTTTCGCTTTCACAGCCGCAGCGCACAGCTCTACGTCTCAAACTCTAGACCGCTGAAGCTCCGTCTGAATCTCCTCCCCCCAGACACCAGTTTAAGACTCTAGCCTTGCTCCACCTCTTCCTTTGCTCTTTCCTCCTCTGGTTCCGCCTGTCCGCTGGGGTCTTGCCCTTCCTAGACTCTTCTGACACTGAGTCCCCTGAGTCTTCCCCCTGCCTCCGGCGGGCTTTAGGACCTGGTTCCCAATCCGGGTTTTCTGCTGTCCCGCGCGCCTGTACATTCGAACTTGGCGCGCGCGCCCAGCCGGCAACCTTCCTCCTGACCGTTACACTGCTCCTGTCACTGCTTCCCCCTTCGGGGAGGCTAGCTGGACCTGACCTCCCCTCCGTTCCCCCACTCTCCGATAGAGGCGTGGTCAGCCCTGACTCATCTTCTCTCCCTGCTGGAGGAGACGCTGGCCCTGACACATGGGACTCTTCCCCCCCACTACGCTCTGGTGGGGAAGCTGGTCCTGATCTCCCGCTGCTGCTTTGGGAGTCCCCGCTGGCCCCTTGTTTCTGGTGCGTCCCCCCTGGGACCCCCCTTGCCCTGACCATCGGCGCCTCCTTCTGGGAATCTTCTGATTCGCTGGAGAAGCTCATGGAATCTCTCGGGTCACTGTCATACTCCCCTACGCTGCCCTCAGATTCTTCCCCTTCGCTCTCCATTTCCTCTCTCCCCTGTGCCTCTGCTCCTGAGCCCCTGACACTTAACTTCCTATTTGTCAAGGTGACACTTTAGCCCACTCTGCCTTCCCTGAATCATTTGGCTTTGGCTAGCGCTAATGGGATGACTCACAAGTGCTTTGAGGGTATACATTTGCATGTAGCCTGGGCACAACTAGGCTTTGGTTTCCAATGCCTTATTAAAAAGGTCACTTCTTTAAAAAACTATAAAAGAAACCTTTAGCCTGTAGCTTAAAACACATTTGCCTGTCTGGACTTGCAGGAAGTGGTGATTCGTAGGTCATTGGAAAGCAGAAAGGCCTTTAGAGAACCCTTGTTTTTGAAGCAAGTCACACTTTCCATTTGATTCAAAGATTGTGCCCTTCTGACACATCTCTAGGAAAAACCTGATTTTTTTCTGGGCAGATGGGGTGATAGGAAAGTCAGCTCACCAGGCACCTAAGAGGATCGTATCCATGGTGTCTCCTGTCTGCATATTTGCCTGATCAATATTATCCCTATTTTTCAAGAGAAACGAACAGGGCAAGATGTTTTAGTGCTCAGGCTACCTTGCATATGCAAAGAGGCCCATGCAGGTATAGGAAACTGAACACAAGAAACTGCCTTAATATGCAGGCAAGTGGGCCATCTCACTCAGTACTGTTTATACCAGCGGTAACCAACCTGGTGCCCTCTGGATGTTGCTGGACTCCCAACTCCCATCAGCCCCCACCAATGGTCAGCAATGATGGCAGCTGGAGTCTAGCAAACACCTGAAGGTTTACGTTGACTGGCAGAAGCTCTCCAGGGATTTGGGCTGGGGACTTTTGTAGCCCTACCTGGTTGAAGCTGGAACCTTCTCTGTCCAAAGCAAGTGGTCCTCTATTCCAGACATCCTCGTGGAGGAACGGGGATGGTCGCTGCGTTGCAACAGTAGGCTCCACCCTGATGTGGCTGCATTCATTGTACTGTCTGAGAAGGTCCCTGCAGACATGCAGCTGTTTCCATGGAGAGCTTTGTTTTTTCCAGGAATGCATGTGTGTAATTAATACATATGAGTGTTTGAGGGGAGGAGCCTGCTGCTACTGCTGCATCCACCTCTCATGTGTGTTTTGTTTTGAGTGCATTGCCATGACTGAAAAGGGATGGTCTGTACGCCATTCCTGGCTGGCTGAGTAAAATCAACAGCACCGTGTTTTCAATGAAAGTAGCTTGTGTTGCAAGAAGCCCTTAAGGCAGAACTTGCAACTATAGGGGTAGCTTGTTTACACAGTACAGCACAAGTCACTGACATCCCTGGGGCTAGTCTGGAGCGAGGGCTGCTCCACGCTAGGTTTCCCCAGCCTGGTGCCCTCCGGGTAATTCTGAGCTACAGTTCCCATCAGCCCCAGCCATGACAGCCCAGCATCAGGAATGGGAGTTGTAGATCAGAACATCTGGAGGTTGTCCGGTTGCAAGGAGCTGTTTTAAACCAGCCAGAGATCACATGGCGGTCTGTGCTACGTCTGGGTGCAGATCTGGGGTGGCATGCCTTCTGCAGAGGAAATCACCGCTTGCAGAAAGCTAGCACAGCAGGGACAAGGCTCAACTCGAACTCTTCTCTGTCACATTTTAAAAAAAGAATTATTTAATATTGA